AATATCTTCAGTATGAACTAAGCCCGTATCCGACATCTTTATTTGATAGTAATGGCATGAGAAAAACCACGAAAGCAACATTATATGACAATATGATGCCTGTCGTTATCGATCTTGATGAAAATAATGTAACATACATCATCGATGGTGGATTTCTTCTGCATCGCGTCGTATGGAGCAAAGACGATACTTTCTCTATTATTTTAAATAAGTACATTAAATATTTACAAACACATTATGGCTCAGCAATTGTTGTTGTATTTGACGGATATTCGGACTATAGTAAAAATATTAAAGCACTGGAACAACGAAGAAGAACTGCTGCACTTTCAAAATCATATGAAGTTTGTTTTGACGAAACAATGGTTGTGCCAATCAGTCAAGAAAATTTTTTATCAAATCGGTCTAATAAAAAAAAATTTATCGACATGCTTGTTGAAAAATTTAAAACTGTTAATATCACAACAAAACAAGCCAGAGATGATGCTGATGTTCTCATCATTGACACAGCTATTGCCTTATCAGAACATCAAAAGACTGCTGTCATCATAGGAGAAGATATCGATTTGCTCGTTATTTTAATTGGACGTACTCAGTCACATCATCAGGAATTTTTTTTGAAAAAAGTTGGCAAAGGCAATGTCAAAACACAAATATATTCTACTAAAAGTTTTGACCAATATCCTCGTACTAAAAAGCACATTTTATTTTTACACGCATTCAGTGGCTGTAACACGACTTCTGCGCTATTTAAAAAAGGAAAAAAAACTGTTACTAGAGCATTGGAAAAAATTCCTGATTTAGATAAACTGGTGGAAGTATTTCAACAAGAAAACTGCCCAAAACAAACATTATTAGAAAATGGAGTGCGCATCTTGTTGGCATTATATAATGCTCCAAAATCTGAGGACAACATTGATCATTTCCGCTACACGCAATTCATCAAATTTACAAAACTAAATAAACCTGTACAACTGTCAACACTTCCACCAACAAGTGTAGCAGCTCATCAACACATAAAACGTGTCTACTACCAGATTCAAACGTGGTTAGGGAAGGACTTAGAACCTCAAGAATGGGGCTGGATGCTTGAAAATGAAATCCTGGAGCCCATACGAACGTTATTACCTCCAGCACCAGCCGAACTACTAAACGTAATATTTTGCAATTGCAAAAATGGTTGTGGTTCCCGCTGTGGATGCAGAAAATCAGGGCTACAATGTTCTTTAGCTTGCGGCCAGTGCAACGGACAAGCTTGCCTCAACGCTTCACTGTATCCAAGTAATCCCGATGAAGAAAATACATATGATCCCGATATTCTGGAAGGTTTGGAGATGAACATGACAGATAATGAGGATGATGACAATGAATCGAACATTTTTGAGCGACAAGAAGAAGAAGAAGACGAAGAAGAAGAAGATAATTAGCTTCCATTTCCAATGTCATTACAATTAAAATCAACAAAGATACTTTTGATATTTGAACTCACATTTTGATAAATGTATATTATGCCGTATTTAATAATAAATAAAAATATGTGTAAAATATATACTCTTACTATCATTTTAACTTAAAATAAAACTAAAATATATAATCCAGAATTAATAATATTTTATACTTAAATAGTTAAATATGAATAATTATATATAAATAATCAAGTTACTTACTTTAATTAAATATAAATAATTAATAGTTAGTACATAAATAATAGGCATTGTTTAATAATTATAATTTCCAAGTAAATAATTGACTTTATAACGTACTGATAACCATAACTCACGCTTGACCTTGCATTAGGCCGTATATGACTGTACGATGTGCACTTCGCGCTCTACCTTCAAAACGGTTGGTCGTATGAAAAAAAAGTTTAAACAAAAGTTGTAGGGAATTTTATAGCCTACAACTTTTATAATAAATGCAAATCTCATTCAACCGATTGGAAGCCAGATATTCGCGAAAAACCGATTTTTGTGACCTTTGACCTTGAATATCTTAAGACGCGGACACGATAACGATTGTGACTTTTGAGACAACATTTAGAATGACAAAACAAAGGTTCATACCAATTTGCAGCTTATTATCTTTCATTCCGAGGTGAAAGCCCTAATATGACTGGGCTATAGGTATTTTTAGTTTTATTTAACAATCTCTTGTTTTAAATAATTATTAAATAATTTGTATGTATTTTTGTAAAATCATCACTGATTTGGACGATATTTTTGTTCAAGAAACAAATCGGCGTATAATTTCCGCCATTTTGATTTTTAATTATAACCATATAATTAAACACTCGCGTTATCAAAACGTATCTAACGACATATGAATAATCAAAATCGGTTTAGCCGTTTAGTAATTGTGATAGAACATACCTTTGGGTTTCGGCGCAGTCGGGCAAAAAAAATACCTAAGTAATTATATAGTAGGCGATACTATTCAAATCGTGGACGGAATGATATACGTGTAAATATCCCGCATACAAAACACACGTAGACATATTAGCATCAGATATAGAAATAAGTATAATGCAAAATAGTAAATGGTACAATACGTCATGTCATTCCAATAGATTGTTTTCACGCGAATAACAGGCAGTGATAGCTCAGTGATAACGCGCTCGCTTGAGAAACCGTGTGAAGCGGGTTCTAACCTCGTGTTTCACACTTTTTATATTTTAATGGCGAATAATTTCTTCTCTCTTTCTCTCTCTCTCTCTCTCTTCTTACGGTGAAGGAAACATCGTGAAGAAACTTGCATGTCTCAGAGAAGCTAGCAACTCAGACCAATAAAAAAATTATTTTATTTTGTCTGAGTCTAGCAAATTTTCGAAAGACATGTAATCCTCCTTCGTGTCGAAGGGAGGTCCACCCCCAGCAGTGGGATTAATGAGGGATGAATACAACAGATAGTTTTTTTTTAAATCCTCTTCGAGCTGTGATATAGAGCCGATTCGCCTCAATGATCTACACTACTCGTACTACAATAAAGTGGAAAGATTTGTATTTTTCTACGTTTGTAACGAATAAACTCAAAAACTACTGGACCGATTTAGATGACATTTGATAAGAAGATAGTTTGAGACCCTGGAAAGGACACAGGATATTTTTTATTCCGGAAATCGTCCCTTAAGGGAGTGAAAATGGGGATGAAATGTATAGGGAATCGAGCTAGGGACGAACCCGAGTGAAGTGAGGGTGAGTCGCTAGTACTAGTTGATAATAAAATGATAATTTTAATTCTAAGCTTATTTACATTTTTTATCACTGAATACTTTTATAAATGCGAGAGTTTGTACGTGTGTGTTTGTCACTCCTTCACGTTGAAACTACTGAACGAATTTGAATGAAATTTAATACACGATGCACAATAGTGCAGATAATAATCTGAAGTAGCGTATAAGCTACTGTTAGTATCTAATAAAATTAAAAGAAAAGATAGCTCTTTTAGTCTTTAATATAATATAAAAGGCAAACGCACTGGCGTATCAATACCTTTTAGGACCCCAATGCATAAAAATGGAAGTGCCTATTATGATAACGATTGTGGACTGCTGAGCATTGAACGAGAAGTCGTTTGTGGTCCACTGGGCCCCCCTCGAATCAGGGGCCCCATGCGACCGCAAAGGTTGCATTGGCATAGGCATAGCTACGCCCGCGCCACTGGGCAAAGGACGCACCCGAGCGAAGCTTTATGATAAATACAAGTAACTAATTACATTTTAATTAAAGAAGTACATTGACTTGAATATCAGCTTATTATTATACCCATCCAAGGTGAAACTTTTTATCTAGAAAATTACATAGGTATACTCCTGCAGAATAACTAATATTTGTTAGAAAAGAAAAAAAAACCATGTCAAATAGTGGCAAAGACATCGCGTAACATGTCTAAAGCTTTTTGAAACGGTTAAATAGTTAAAAAAAAATTTTTTTAATAAAATGTTAACAAAAAGAGTCTTTTAGTCTACAAAAAACGTGACAGTCGCAATTTTTTATGTCATAATATTTATATAATAAAATACATAATATATATGTAGATAAAAAATGACCTTTGATGATAAGTGATATTGAATTCTACTAAGAGAATTTCAGAATCAAGTCGTTTTGAAAATGAACTACATGAAAACAAACACACTCTCATATTTAGTATAGTATTATATCATCTGTGGTACTAACGTCCCTACTCCCTAGTTTTCGCAGTGCACGTAAAAAAAATATTATAAAAGGCAAATTTTTGATACCTTAGGTTACATTGTTGCAATTTTCGTTGGTATCTGTATTTTTTTTGAAAATAAAATACAGCCCATGTTACTCGTTGATAATTTTGGCGTTTGATAAGTGAAAGATTTTTTTAAATTGGTCCAGTAGTTTTTTTAGTTTATCCATTACAAACAAACATACAAAAAAAGTATGTTTTTATCTTTATAATATTAGTATAAATAAGATTGAGGACTATTTTGTTATACCTTTGTAACAATAATATTTAGAAGGCTTTAAATTACTAACCAAGAATAAAAAATAATCTTAAAAACGAATAGGTACATTCTCAGCGAAAAAGCTAAAATGACTTTTCTTACATTACACAAGACTCAAACCTATGATAAGGCATGACTAATAGGATTTTAACTAGTATAGAAACGTCGTATTTTAATTAAAATAAAAAAAAACTTAAATATGTACAGACATTGTAAATTATTGCACTATTTATTCCATAATTTTATTTCTATTTTAAACATAAATATGTTTCATTTACAATTGAAATAAAATTACATACCTACTTGTAATGCAGAAAACTGCTAATATCGTATTCATTTTAAAAGATGACAATATTTTATTTATTTCTAATGACTGCACGTAATATTAAGAAAAAGTACCTACAATTAGTTTAAAAAAATGTCCTTATATTATAGAGAAGCCTTGGCACATGCTAAATTTAATTTTACAATAATATGAAAATGGGAAAAACACTGCTTAATTTTAAATACGAAATAAAAATAAACTTACGTATAAAATACTAAATTCCAATTAAATAATCACAAATAAACACAAATAGGTTTTTAAGTACTAGGTATCGCTCTCAATCGCGGCCTTCTTTCGACTAATAATTCAAATAGTGAAGTCATTCGGCGGGAACTGTTATTAAAACCCGCCAAAATAAAATAGGCTAATAACTTAACGCCATTTCAAAGCAAAGAAGGTTATATTAAATTTATTCGTATAATCTTCTAATAGCAAAACGGCTAAATTAAAAAGAGATCTATTTTAACTCAGTTACTTTATAAATGGGACTTTTTAATTTAATCACGTTATTTGAGTCGACAAATCGACAAAAATATATGGATGACGTCATTTGATTGCCTTCGGGCTTCGTCTATTTCCAAGGTTGTTTATTTCTTTGCAGTGACATCATTTTTGAGGCCAAAGTTAAATTTTAAATAATTATGTACATTTATTAGGCAAATGAAAATCGTTTTTTTTTCAATTCCTTTCAGGATATATATTAGTTTACAAAAGAAAATATTACATTCTTAGACTAATAAAAAGTATGTATTTTATTTTTGTGGACCTGATCAAATGTAAAAATTGGACAAGTACGAGTCTGATGCCCGATTTCACCAACGTCACCTAAGTTTAAGGGGTCTCCTAAGCATGATGACTTTATAGTCGATTTTTGCCTCTTCGGCTTGTGCAAATCGGCAGATTATTGAATTGGACACTTTTCAGGATGTGACTAGCCTACCACACCTTAATCTGACGGTTTCAAGTATTTCTACCTTATCAAAACATTTTTTAAATATTTTAATCGGCTTCCCTAGACGCGCCCCTTTATATAGAAGACTTATATTGTGGTGAAAGTACTCAATAGAGTGCAAGGTAACCTCTTTTATGTTAATCTGCCGCGCTCGAGTAACTACAGAAAATCCCCTCTTGGGCTCCCCTACTATTGGGATTGTGTATCTAGTTCTTTTCTGATCGATGGAAAACTACAAAAAAAACCGTGTATGTACAATAAATATATAAACCTTCGATGAATGTCTGTACTTTTATTATTCATCTTATTAGTTTATGGTTTGTGGTCAAAACAATAACAAATATCTATGAAATACACAGTGATTTGACACTTGACATATGACATACATAAATGTCATTTCATTCGAGAAAACATACGGTTGTGCATTGTGGTATTGTATTTTGATTTTTAACAATATTTTCAATAACAATGAGCGCTGAAGACCCAAAACCACTGTTCAGGGATCTGACTGGGGAGGATCCAGACCCTGAAGTTACACAGATTGAATCCTTTTGTATGAATTGTCACGCAAATGTAAGAAAATTTGGATTATTCTAGAACACATTGTTTTTGTTGACTTTAGGTATTTTTAACCAAATATTTTATATGATTTGAAATTTAGTTTTATTACTAACCTTTAGTTTATGTTTATAAAGCAAATTTTTAAAGGATTTCTTTTTGATTTGTAAGTATTGCAATATATTATGAACATAACCTATCAAAATGTAACATACCGGCTGTACTTGTAAAATAATGTCGCCTCTTAATATATAAATCATATAAAAACATAATACATGGTTAACTAAAACGATACTTTTAATTTTTGTTTTATAGTAGTTAGTATTTTTTTACAATGTAATAAATAAAATATATAATTTTTTTTTCTTCAGGGCATCACAAGGCTCTTACTTACAAGAATACCACATTTCAAAAATGTCGTAGTAATGTCATTCTCTTGTGAGGAATGTGGCTTTGAAAATAACGAGATACAGCCTGGTGGAGCTTACGCAGAGATGGGTGTCAGGTACAGGATTATTTATTGTATACTATGTAATAAAAAAATACTCTTATGCATGCAAATTATGTTTATTCTCCTTAAATAAGTGTTCTAAAAAATTTAAACATTAGAAAGCTAAGGTTGTAAACTTCAACATATAATATAGGGCTAATTGAATATAATCACAACTAGGCTATGGCTACATTTTGATGCGACATTAGGATAAAAAATCTTTTATCTTATTTTACCGAATCCTTTCTCTTGCTTAAATTGACTAACCTCATTAAGGTCCAAAGACATCATCATCATGTTATATTGTATATGTAAATATTTAGTGTGCTAAATAATAAATAAAGTAAAAACAAACTCCAGATAAAATAGATTTAGGCATTTGAGGGAAAACGGGTGCTGAGTTCAAATAGAATGATACAGAAAAAATTTTGTTTTGCTTGTTTTTATTTTCAATATCATGTACACATACATTAAATACAGCGTATAATACTCTGAAATAAAAGGCTAACATTTTTGCTGGGACTAACCTATGCTAATATTATAAAAAGGGAAGTTTTGTTTGTTTGTAAAAGATACACTATGAAAATATCAACCCAATTTAAATAATTATCTCATGAACAGCTAACTATATTAACTAGTGCTTTATTATATTTTGGACTAGCGACTTATCGTCACTTTGCTTGGCTGTATCCCTAGCTACCAGTTTCTTCACAATTTCATTTCTTTAATTATTTTTGAACCCAGATTTTTTTTCTAAAACAAAAGTAGCCTTAGTTACTCCTTATAACATCTGCTATTTGCCAGTGAAAGGCCCGTCAAAATCAGTCCAGCAGTTTCGGAGATTAGCCAGAACAAACAGACAGACAAACATTTCGAAAATTGTCATTTCTTAAAAAAGCTAAGGTAAAAAGCTTTTATATCGACATTACAAACAGACACATCAATTTTATTTATCTGTATAGATAGATTTTGTTTAGAAGATATTAAAAATGAAAATAAATTATAACTTATGCACAAACATATCATGGACAAAAACAAAACAATTTCACCAGCTTTATAATATTATTTACAGATGGAAACTCCGTGTTGAAGAAAGTATAGACCTGAATAGACAAGTAGTGAAAAGTGATTACACAGCAGTCAGGATACCGGAATTGGATTTTGAGATACCGGCACAGAGCCAGAAAGGAGGTAAATTATTATTTAATAAGTTTTGAAATCATTTTTGTAAAATTGTGGGTAGGCACTATCTGTTACAAGTATATAACGCTTTTGTGACGTCTAAAACCTTATTCTCTCCCATGACCATGATTGTTGTAAAGCATTCAAAATATTGGGAACCAAAAATCAAAATGAATTGTCAAAATAATCTGAAAAGATTTAAAATGTCAAATATCAATAAATCTTTTTTAGCTTTGGGTTCAAAGCTAAAAAAGCTAATCTATAATAATATTATAAAAAGGCAGTGTGTTTGTTTGTTTATTTGTTTGTTTGAACGCGTTAATCTGTTAAACTACTAATCTGAATTAAAAAAACTTTTAAATTCGGATTAGTAGTTTATTTCTTTGCACGGCTATAGCCCGTTTATTGAGGAAGGCTATAAGGCTATAATATCATCATGTTACTACCCCAGGGAGCGGAGCAATAATATAGTATAGTCTATCTAATCCATACTAACCGTTAACACATACCTATGGGCGAACCCGATCGAAGCGAAGGTGAGTCGCTAGTAAAGATCTAAATCACTATTTTGTTTTTATTTTGTCTCAGAGGTAACAACAGTGGAAGGTCTCATCCAGCGAGCAGTATCAGGACTAACTCAGGACCAGGATGCGAGAAGGGCCCAGCATCCAGAGGACGCTGCTCAGATTGATGCCTTTGTATCAAAACTCCAGGAGTTGAGGGATCGGAAACCCTGGGTGTTGGAGTTAGAGGATATTAGCGGTGAGTTATGAGGATTCCACGTTGGCATCGCCAAGCTGAATGGGAAGATAGTCTGAGAATTACGAGCGCGTGGTGACGTGGCGACGCGTCGCCACGGCAAAAACCGTTTTGACGAGCCGCATTTGATGTTTCACATCTGTATATATAAATATTATAAATGTCAAAGTTTGTGAGTATAGATGTTTGTTACTCTCTCATGCCAGAATGGCTGAACGGATCTGGATAAAATTTAGAACAGAGATAGATTATAGTGTGGAATAACACATAGGTTTTTTCACATCACTTTTTAACTCGTAAAAATGTACGGTTCCCGTGGGATAGTTTTGTTTCTGTTTTCTTAGAAACGCACCCGAGCGAAGCTCTATCAATAGCCCGTTACACAATCCTTTGACGAATACCAAGTGTATGGATACAGAAAGACTAAATAGTTAAACTTTGCCCGACCCGGACTTGAACCCAGGACCTCCGAGTGTGCAGCCGTACATACCAGCCACTACACCACCGAGGCAGTTAAAACTTTTTTTTTTATACTGGTATAATTGTATGGTCGATGAGTATTAAAAAATATATATATTTGAAACAAATGGATATTCTCTATTGTATTCACAGGTAACTGTTTCATAGAAAACCCAGAGGCACCCAGAAAGGACCCTCGCTGCGAGAGAACCGAATTCAAGCGCAGCAAAGAGCAAAATCACACTCTGGGCATTTATATGCAGGAGGAGGTAATATTATAGTTTATATGTTATATCTACATGAATATATACATATAATAAAATATGTAGTAACAAACCGAAATCTGTACATGAAATATTTTTTTAAAAACAATGACCATTGTGTCGGTAACCAGAAATCAAAATCAATCCACGGAAAAAATCCAAAAATATAGTTTTATTTAAAAATATAGTTTAATGAACTAGCGGTACATTTTATTTTTTTTCAGTGGAACCCTAATTCTTTTACTGAAATAAAAGTAGCCTATGTTACTGCTTATAACATCAACTACCTGCCAGTGAAAGTCGAGTCTAAATCGGCCCAGTCATTGCGGAGATTAGCCGGAACAGACAGACAAAAATTAAAAGAAATGTGTTTTTCTTATAAATACCGAATAAAATTCCATACGCGTTTAGTAAAAAGCTGTTATTTTGACATTACAAACAGATAATTCAATTTTATTTATCTGTATAGATGTCAAATATTCGCGTTAATCTAAAAATGTAAAAAAAAACATACTGTTCCCACCTTCCCCAGGTGGGACCCCTCCCTGGTGAGATCACGGCGGCGGACCCGGCGCAGGGCGGCTACGACCGGCTCGTGGCAGACGAGATCCTGCAGTTCCGTACCAACTGTCCTGACTGCAACGCGCCCGCTGACACCAACATGAAGCTCACTAGTGAGTATAGTGGGGTAGGCCGTAGGTCAGGGGGTACAGGGTTCGAGGTCTGGGTAGTCACTAGCTTAGGGATGCGAAGTTAAGGGTTAGCATGCATGTACGGTAACACATCAGGAGCTATAGGGTTTGATACCTGCGTCGGGTTGAGATTAGGGCTTGGGTTTGAGCCCTAGATAGGTTTACGTGTAGGGATAATCCCAGTTTTCAGTTAAGAGGTTCTCAGTATTAGGGGAGTATTGCTGGAAACCGCTGTGGTGGTGATGGCAAATGTTTTCCACCGGAGTATAAGAGTGAAAGAGACCGAGAGTGCAGGTTGTGTGTGAGCTCTCCTTCGCTCGCCCTGTGCTGTAGAATCCCATGCGTTGGTTTGTCTTAGTGAGATTGGCCAATGTGGCTAAAATTTTGTCATAAAGTCATTATTATTATGCAATACAAATTTTTGTACACATTCTTTCTAAGTTTTTTATAAAGGATAGAATACGAATAGATAAAAGTGTTTAATCTATTGTTTACATACACGTTTGTTTCCAGACATTCCGCATTTCAAAGAAGTAGTGATAATGGCGACCGTGTGCGATGCGTGCGGCCATCGCACCAATGAGGTGAGCACTGCGCTTAAATTTAGTGGTGCTATAGCTTTATAAATATATGCCGTGTTACAAAATATTCGGTCTTTAAAAAGTCCCACTGCTGGGAGTGGGCCTCACTTCAACATAAATAAATGTTAATATATTTAAATCCCCAGGTGAAGTCGGGCGGCGGTATAGAAGACAAAGGTGTGCGGTTCGAAGTCAGGATAACTAATAAAGACGACTTTTCTAGGGACATACTTAAGGTACTTATGACTCTTTTTTTTAATAAAAAACACAAAATTGAACCCTTCTATGGTCACTTGTGTTGTCTGTCTGTTTGTCAGTCCATTCTATTTGAATTTATAAGACAAGTCGTCGTGTGTCGAAGTCGACGTGGGTCGCTAATCTTTTCTTATTTTCTTCTAAAAGATGTCGTCTTTCACAGCGATTCGCACTTGACCGTAACTTTTGAGAACTTTTGCATGAGATTGTGTATCTAGTATTTCTTTGATCGATGCTCTTCTCCCAGTCAGAAACGTTGAAACGTTGAATAAAAAAATCTAAATGTATCCTATATCCGGCTCATAAAGGACTAATGTTTTTTTTACCCTTAAGAATTTAAGATGATGATCATCTCTCATCTCACAGTTGGAAACATGCAGCTTGTCGACTGCAAATCGACGTCCCTATTGAATTTTATATTAAAACTTTAAATTAAAAGAAGACTTGATAATGTTAAGCTACTGTTAAAATCATATTAATCATATCTTTAATGTGTTTGTATATTATACTGTTTACACTTATCGGATCTACATTTATGTATGTATTTTTATATGTATTTATGTACTACGACTAATTTCTCTATTACTCTATAATCTATGACCTCTCATCCCCCAGTCGGAGACATGCAGCATGTCGATCCCGGAGCTGGAGCTGGAGGTGGGCGGGCGCGCGCTGGGCGGGCGGTTCACCACCGCCGAGGGGCTGGTGCGCGCCACGCGCGACCAGCTGGCCGACGCGCCCGCGCTGCGCGGCGACGCGCCCGCGCTCGCCGGGGACAGGATGGACGAGTGAGTGTCGGGGATGAGCTGGGGCGGACGCGGCCTGATTGATGTATTCATCAATCTTGTTGTAGTGATATGCGAGAATGGGATGCTTCGACAACGTTTATTGAAGTTCTTTTGGCACGTTTGGCAAAAATTATGAGAGTAAAATTTTTACGATGCGCGCCCACACCGACAGCCTAAAAGCGACATGATGAACTTAGCTGCATTCCTTTTACAAACAGATAGTCGTGACATACGGGAAGAAATCTTTAGCTATTTTTGTTCTGTTACGCCAAAGTAGTATAACTTTCGTGCGTACATAAGTACACACACACGTTTTTTTTTATGTTACAGGTTCATCCGTAAACTGGATGAAGTTTTGGAGAGCAAGTGTTCCATCACATTAGTCTTGGACGACCCCGCGGGCAACTCCTATGTGCAGAACCTTAACGATGACCCGCATCAGTATGATGATGGTAAGTATTTCTTTACAAGAGACGCTTCCTTTGTTTAAAATCATCGATTAAAAAACTACTAGATACTCAATCCCATGCAAAAGTTCTCTTAAAACTGTCATCAATTGTGTTTAGGTAATTATTGTTCTGGTTGAAATAAATATATGACAATGTAAATTGAACCTAAATGCAATGCTTAAAGTTGTTTTCACAAGAAAAAATAAATTAAAAGCTCGCTCAAATGTTCAAACGAGCGCTCATTCGGTGAGGACATTTTTCGTCGCTGATTGTGTATCTAGTATTTATTTGATCGATAATAATTGATATGTTAGTTGTAATTTTTGATTTTTTTCTATTTCTGTACGTGAATAAAATAAAATAAAATTGTGCATGATTGAATCACAAATTTACATTTATAATAATTTGGCACGATAGAGATATGCGTCTATGGGAAAGATAAAATATATATATAATAAATTCTTAATTATGCTGGATATGTGGGATAAGTTAACAATAGCATTCCCAAGGCGGGTTGATGTCAGGCATACCCTAAGGCGGCCACTCGTAAAACTTTTGCCAAAACTTATCAGCAGTACGGAAGATGTACTGCGCCGACCCTAAGTCATTGGGAAATTGGCAGGGAGATGATGATGATGATGCGGGTTAAGATCAAGGAGAAGGAGATGACATATTTTATGATGTAAAATGGTTGGGGAGTTTGTAAATCAACGCCATCTATTGTCTTATTAAGAAAACAAAATAGCCCAAGTTAAGGCTGATCAATCTATACATATAATAAAGTTGTGCTGTCTGTACATGGAAGATAATTGAGAAAAACTATGATTGCAATGTCTTTTTTAATGCAATAGAATCCAAAACAATGATTTTTAGAAATTTTGTCTGTTTGTCTGTGTGATGAGTTAAAATTTTATTATATATGTATAGATGACAAATTATGCCAATTTCCTTATATGGGATGGGACCTATGTACTAATATAGTGTTATATGATCCATGTATTTATTATCTTCCAGGTCTTAAAGTAACTCGCTATGAGCGTACTTTTGAACAAAATGAGGAGCTCGGTTTGAATGATATGAAGACAGAGGGTTATGATGGGAAAAGTTGAAAAGCACAACATATTTTAATCTATAGTTGATATTTAATTTATATATTAAAATACCACACAAGTTACTGATTTTGTATATAAGAGAATTACTAAGATTTAATGATGACACGTTTGGCTTAGTTTGTAGTAACCCTATTGCTGTGCCAGCGGTTCGGGTTCGAGTCCCGCTGGGGGCATTCATTTGTGTTGTAAGCAATAATGTTTGTACTCCAGTCATGGATGTTTATATTTACAATATGTATATATTTAAAGCTATGTGTAGTGTATCAACTATCTGGTATCCATAACACAGGCGTCGTAGCTTACCATGGAACTGGATAGTGTTATGTCAGTGGGACTCGAACCTGCGATCACTAGCACAAAAAGTAGGGTCACTACAAACTGAGCCAAAGGTGTCGTCATGATGATATGAGGAGAATATTCTTGATTTATATTTAGAGTAAACGAAAAAAACAACAAAAAAAATAAACAAGAGGTGGAGTACTAGACTAGTTTAAAAAAATATGGTGGAAGGTTGCATTTGCACACTTCACTAAATGGTAAATTGTGTGGTATAGGTATTTTATTCCATAAATAATAAGAAAAATATTGTAAATATTGCATTTTAATGTATTTATAAAGATTTTTCTTATTGGAAAATTGTAATAAATATTTTTTTTCATGATGTTGTTTTTTATTCTTATTTTTTTTAATCTGTAGCAGTTTTGGGACTGTGGAATGCTTATAAAATAGCACAATGGGGACCGTGCGGGAAATGTACAGGGCAGTACCTAGTGTTTTATTGCCGATGGTAGTGGGATATAAACTTTTTTTTTGAAGTTTTCATTTGAATTTAATTCACCGATTACTCAGACGCCTGAACCGATTTGGAAAATGTTTTTTTTTGTTTTAAAGGGTATACTTCCCGGGTGGTCCCATATAAATTTTTATCGTATTCGATCAAGCGGTTTTTTAAATCAACAAATAAATATATTTTTTTCAATAAATTGCTTAATCGAACATGTTATTAAAAAACTTTCTTCTAACAAATTACCTGCTTATTACGTCTACACAAAAAATGTATAGATAAAAACTAAAAAAAAACCGACTTCCAGGCACTAAAATGCAAAAAATAACTAAACGGGTGTTTTCATTTAGAACAGATACCTACCTAATCAGATATTTTCGAAGTCGGCTTAAAATACATCACAAATTGATGTATAATATATTAACTATAGTTAAGAGTTCATACCTAATCATATTTACCTATTAGATATTCATATCTTAAAATATTGTCGGCTGGCACCGAAAAGTTTTTTTTTCCATTTTTAATGTAGACTTAATAAGCCGGTAATTTATAAGAAGAAAGTTTTTTAATAACATATTCGATTAGGCAATTTATTTAAAAAAAATAATTTATAGATTTTTTTTTAAAAACCGCTCGACCGTTTTAATGAGACCACCTGGGAACCCTTCGAAACAAAAAATAAATTCCAAATTGGTTCAGGCATCTTCGAGTGATCGCTGAACAAAAATAACAAAAAAACCCGATGAATTGAGAACCTCCTCCTTTTTGCAAGTCGGTTAAATAAAATGTAAGCTATGAAAGTATGACATCAAAATATCTATGTTTTAAGTTTGATTGCCGAAACTTCCTCTTCGTCCTACACCCACTCCATGCATAAATATTAAAAAATATATAATAAAACAATATATTATGTTCAGAAAAGAGACTAGGCCTATGGAAATGAAATCATCGACCAGTTTCAATACTTATCACGTGGCTGACACGTAAATTTATAGAGGATCAGAGGTCCTGGGTTTGAGTCACACATCGGCCTGAGTATATAAGAAATTCTCAGCCTGGCGCAGGACCGACAACCTCCCCCCCAACGTGCGTTCACCTTGTCGTGGTGGGGGGGCTCAGTAGTGCATGGCAACCCAACCGGGCGCGAAGCCAAGAAACGCACAGGGAGGTGGCCCACTTCGGTGGGCGGTGTACCATGCGGGTTGCTCCTGGTACTTCTCTGATAGCAGAGTGGACTGTGGAGCAACCCCGTGGTTGTTGTGGTCTGCTTCGGCAGACCTGCCGTCGGGCCGTCGTAGTTGAATGCGTAAGCGATCCTGCGACGCCCCATTAAGACGGGGGAAGGTTTTGTTGGGTTTTAGTGGGTAGTACTGGCTTTGCCGGTGAGTCCCACACCTCGTGCGTAAATGCATTTCCCAACGTTAAAAAAAAAACAAAAAAGGACCGACAACCTAACGTAAGGAAGGAGGCAACCCAAGGCAACAAGGTGTACACGCTTCTTCCCAACTCAAGCTGCTATGAGTATGTCATGACAGAAAAACTCTGAAACTATTTTGGCCCAACCTGTAGATTAAATTGTGAAAGTGGGTTTGTTTATTTGCTCTTCTTTCACACTGAAACGGGGCAAAGGATCGATGTTATTTCCCTATGAAAATAGTTTGAGGAAACAGCTGAAAACACATCACATTGCTTATTTAAAACAGTGTAAATATTATTTATTTTAACACCATGATAACCTTTTATATGTATATAATAAATACGTAATACAGGTCGCTTGCGGGTCGGTAACATTTTATAATAAAAAATTATCTATATTAACTGCAATATATACCTAATAATGAAGCAGCTGCCTGTCTGTTAGTTTATTACATTTTTACGTTTATACTGCTAAATAAATTTTGTTCAAATGTCATATGGAGTACAATATGACTTTGGAAGGGGACATAAACTATTTTTTGTCCTGAAAATAAAACTTGAAGGGAGTGAAATAGGGAAGGAATGAAAATTGTACGAAGAATTAAATTTCAATACAAGAAACACGAACAAGTTAACGAAGAATAATAATATATGCATTCATATTCCTGATAAGAAAATAATCATAATATATTTACTCTCAATATATCTCTTTTAGATCTATTTATTGGTCGACTTGAGTGAATAATAACGTTTCTTTAATAAAACAATGTCAAAATATTTACTGTATTGTGTTATTATTTTAGGTAAGTTAAAATTTTTTGATCGATTTCAAAAAGTGGAAGTTCGCAATTCGAGTGTTCTTTTTTGTGCGTTTGTTCGCCAATTGTGGATCAATTTTCATGAATCTTAATAAATATTATGTTATATCAAACATGACTACCACTTGTCTTACGGTAAAGGAAAACATCGTGAAGAAACCTGCATGTCTGAGAGGACCCAACATGCTTTCAAGAGCCATGTGAAGCCCGCCTCGCACTTGACCAGTGTGATGGCGTATGACCTGCTCATCCTTTTAGTAAAGTGGCCTCCCTTTGTGTCTGTGGTCTGTGTTTGTTTGTTTCGGTTTGACGAGTCCCATACAAACAGTTGGTCAAAGTCTGTTTTCACTGACTTCCAAAAAGAACGAGGTTCTACATTCTTATACAATTTCGGTAATGTACAATAAAAAAACGAACGGTTTAGTAAACCGAAATTAAAATGGTTAACGGTTATACTTATAGAAAAGTAAGATTAGGGTTTTTATACCGAAATAACCGGTTTATTCATTACATACATGTATGTAACATGTACCTTCTACTAAGCAATTCATCATTAGCAAAGATTCGCCGATTGTAAATGCACAAAAACTCATTTTAACCGGTTAGATTTGATCATGGAACTAAAGTCGTCAAAAATCGTTGTTCGAGTTAGAACCGGTTAAAAAACGTGACAGAAACCTTAAACCAAAGAACCTTTCGGTTTTGGGTCAATAACTAAAATTTGTTTATAAATTGAACGGGTTTCGAGCCCTGGTTAGAACTACATCATTATCGGTATCACCACACTTACAAATTCCGATAAATAACTTATAAACACCGAGCCAACCAATTACTTATTTTTTCAGGTTATCTTTCGAGAGTACAATCAAAATTGGATTATGAGAAAGAAACAGTAAGAATAATATATTTTTGTCATTGTACAACATTCAATTTTTTATTTACTCTAGATTCACCCGCTGCTCTCGCGTAGTTTATTGACTCTTGCTTCTCTCAAGAGGGACTAACAGTAGCCTATATGTTACTCCAGGTCACAGAGTACCTATGTTCTAAATTTCATACAAATCCGTCCAGCCGTTTCAGTGTAACAGTTAACTGAGGGAGTAACAAACATACACTATGTGTATGCAAACTTTTGCAATAATAGTTCGATAGTTACGTTCCTGAGGGACCTACATACCTTGACGTTAGATAGTCTATACCTAACCTTCCCCCCCAACGTGCGTTCACCTTGTCGTGGTGGGGGGGGCTCAGTAGTGCCCGGCAACCCAACCGGGCGCGAAGCCAAGAAACGCACAGGGAGGTGGCCCACTTCGGTGGGCGGTGGGAGGTGGCCCTCTTCGGAGGGCAGTGTACCATGCGGGTTGCTCCTGGTACTTCTCTGATAGCAGAGTGGACTGTGGAGCCACCCCGTGGTTGTTGTGGTCTGCTTCGGCAGACCTGCCGTCGGGGCGTCGTAGTTGAATGCGTAAGCGATCCTGCGACGCCCCATTAAGACGGGGGAAGGTTTTGTTGGGTTTTAGTGGGTAGTACTGGCTTTGCCGGTGAGTCCCACACCTCGTGCGTAAATGCATTTCCCAACGTTAAAAAAAAAAAAAGAAAAAAGAAAAAAAAATACCTAACCTTAATAAATGGCCTTTAAATTGCAAATAATTTTTCTAATCTGTCAGATATTTCAAGATAAAAATCAAAAGTTGGTGATATTTTTCATTTGACCCAAACCCCAACATCCAATTATTTACCAACTTTTACCCCTTCCCTTCCCAAATCCAACGCTCAAAATGGTGTTACTTTTAACCAAACAATATGTGCACTGTATAGAACAATTTGGAATTGGATAGATCTCATTCTTTGGATGTTGAGGTTAGACTATTCTCTGGACTAATTGCACTGTACTACTAGTACAAAATATTATTTATAAAAACTGTTATAGAAATAGGCTTCTGACTGATTTTTATGGGAGTAAGCTCCTTCATTAGATCAGCACGATGGTATCATGTTAATACACTGACTGAATGAATAAAAATATTGGCAATATGGTGCCCTATAATGTCACGTTTACGACAAAAGTGCATTTACGTGAACTTCCACCCATGATCAATGATTATCGTAATCGTGGCCGAACCCATGTCTTCTGTTTGAGAACACATGTTGTTAATTTTCCGATTTTTTTAAGTAAGACCACACTTGAGATGTTAAAGACCCTTAAGACCCTCTCCCGGAGCACTGTAAAGCTTTTGGCTTTGAAACAAAAGCCAAAATGAATCTGAGAAAGTATTAATTTTTCAGAAAATTTACAATGATATAAGATTAAAATTTCCACCAGACCCTTGTGAAGAAGTCAACTTGGATATGCCAGACTTTACAGCCCCGGGACGGCGTGTGAGTGAAGTCAGTGAGTAACCAGAACTTCTAATCTTTAGAAACTTTTTACCCAACTGCTTAAAAAAAAACGTGCGTGTGTACTTACGTAAGCACGTAAGAAGTTATATACTTTTTTGGCGTAACAGGACAAAAATAGCCAAAACTTTTACAAACTCTCTGTTTGTAAAAGGAATGATCTATACATATAATAAAATTGTGTACTATACATATAATAATAAGCCGAATCTGTTCATTAAATATTTTTTGGAATCTTATTGAAATAGACACTATTATCGATACAGATGCCAAATCTATAGTTGTTAGAATTTTTGTGTGTCTGTCTGTCTGTCCGTCCGTCCGTCCGTCCGTCCGTCCGTCCATTACCGCATCATGGAAAAAGCACTGGAGGGATTTTGATGAAATTTGTTATGATGATAGCTGGTTATCCGGGTCAACATATAGGATTTTTTTTACAGCGAGACAATATCTCATCTCTGAGAAATCGATACTAAACGTTAAAACGTAAGTATTAGTGCCCCAGTCGTCTAGCAGGCTGCCGGTGTCTTAGAACATTTCCAGGAGCGATCTTCTGGGGCCTAGTTTTTCTGCGCTAAGGGTTCCAGTTCACAGCATTCAAGAAGAATGTGGCCTGGTATCTTATCTCCTCGGAGGCTCTGCACAGGGGGCTGTCCGTGATACCTATTTTGAAAAGATGTTTGTTGAGATGGCAGTATCTTGTTATAAGTTTCACAGCCGTTTTTAGTTTAGTTTTGCTTAGGCGTATTAGTTTAATTGTTATTTATTTGTTAGGTTTGGGGAAGGCCATTTGGACTGACGGCAATCAGTATTTACCTTTCAAAGTGTGTCTACAGTTTTGTTTGTTAGATCATGTAGCCACGATTTGTATTCGCTAAAGGCGATTGGAGTTATGGGTGCAGACCCTTGTACCCTTAGTTTTGATGCTTCTTTAGCTAAATTGTCGGCAGTCACATTGATCAGTCAGGGATATTATAATTTATAGTGTATATATAATAATAGTGAGTATATAGTGTTAACATGACTTTTTACAATCAGATTAGTATCAGTATCAGTTATGCCGCCCACATACCAATCTAACCATTCGGCCATTTATTTTTCACAGAATGTCTGGAGTATACGTGGCAAATGAGAAATAATCAAATAAAGTCGTTAAGGGTGGATCTATGTAAGTATTTCAATGATTTAAAGAAGAGAAATTTATTTCCGACTTACTAAGGAAAACAAAAATAAAAAATCAATCATAAGAGTAAAAATAATGATAAATATTGTTCTAGGTAAAAAATAATACTTAATACTCTTGGCCCATTTTGGTCACAACGGCCAATGTCACTGACACTAGCCAACTGCGCAGGAGATATTATAGTGCACAAGTGTACATGTGGACACAAATGCATTCATTATTCCTTTTGCTCTCAAAGTCCAATGGGACGATACTTCAATATGACCGGTGTAAGTTGAGGCACTGGACCGACGACTTTACGTGCTCTCCGAGGCACGGAGGTTAAACACCGCCAACTTCTCAACTCCGTAATTATCTTGGCCCGACTCGGGACTAGAACCCAGGACCGCCGGATCTGTAGCTGTACATGCTAGCCACTAGATGTCCGCAGTCCGAGGAAGTTATTATAGGGCGTGTATCAAACGCAAAATTCATTCTGTCTCATCTCATTCTCAACATTCATGGTGACAGATCAGGCACAGGCTTACGTGCTCTACGAACCAAAATTCTCAATGAGTTGGAATCAAGCTCATGACTTCTGGGGACTCTATTATACTTTCTGTTTACGGCAATGTTTGAGATTGTATATAAAACTTTATATATTAGATTTTTATCTGCAGTTTTATTTATAAGATTCGAATGCTTTATGATAATCATTACGGCAACGACATTTGTTGTGAATATTAGCATTCGAGAAATGAAAATAAAACCCCTAGGGGAAAGGGGGGTACACTGGATCACTTTTTTTCAAATTTAGCTTACCTATATAAATAAACTATAAATTATCAATATTTATAACTTGATCAACGAGTCGTTATGTTGGCTTGAGAAATTTAGTTCAACTTTAACAATAATATTTATAATTTTCTGAAAGCAAATGTTTTTTTTAAAAGTGGGAAATTATTCATTGTACCCCATATATGGGGTACATTGGATCTCCGCATGGGGTACAGCGAATCTTATTGGGACACAGTGAATCAACACATGAAATCATCATACGTTTTTCTATTAGGTTACAGGGAATCAATCAATATTGAAAAAAATATACATTTAAATAAAATATTTATGAATTATGTGAACACTTAATCAATGATATTACAATATTATCAATCTCTACTTATTTTCTATCATCTTCTAGGGGCACTGAAGCTATGTCTGGAACATCAGGTAATCTGTACCAATTCTTCACTTTTGTGCTCTTTTAAAAAAAGTAGGTAACGTCGATGTCTGTTCCAGCTCGATTCCCTATTATAAAATAATTTTATTTTATGTGCATCTAGCTGTACTTGAACGGAAGCTTCTTCTCTGGGAATAGATTGAAGAGGACTGAAGTGGTCAGGATCTATTTCATTTTCTTTATTCTCTTAACATATCCTTCTTAAGAATATATATTCATATTATCTGCGACACTTAATTCACGAATTTCGTAAGGTGGCTTATGGAATATTTTTTAGTTTCGCAACTTTTCTAATTTTGCTACCCCCTAAAATAAAGTCAATGGAATTTTGTATCAATTCAGTTCTTCAGTCATGAGACCAATTTGAGTCTTTCTCTTTCGGTAATATTCATTCAGTCATTTCATATTCATTCATTCATCATTCAGTAATCTAAAACACAATAATTATTATTATACTATTAATAAAGGAGAAATATAAATTATTACATACATTATGTGGCCTAAACATCTCTAAATTTAGTGTGGTTGGCCCATCAATGGCCAATCCACTGTACCCCACATGGAAATAGCTCACTGTTCCCCAAAGCACCACTAACACTGAACAACGGATTACTACAGTTTACATAATCTATACGAATCAAACAGCTATTTATTTTTGAAGCTTATTAGATTATTGTTTAAGTAATTTAAAGATAGTCATTCAATATTAAACATCTTTTGAATAAAAGACTCGAGTAATAGAAGCAAAAAAATAGATATGATACTCACGGATGGTCAAATGACGATAACGCATCCTTCAACAGCTAGAGCGTGAGGGACATTGGCGGGCTAGAGTTCTAAGTACTAAAGCTTGCGTTCCATTATTGTAGTATATGTATATAAAGCATAGGAAAAGAGAAACAGCCATTGATTCACTGTGTACTACGGCTCACTGTACCCCCCTTTCCCCTATTTTTATTTAAAATGACTATTGAATTCAGAGACACGGCCTTGAGTCCAAAATAATTTAATAAATCGTTTGAACAGGTGAATTGTCAAAAGTTCCATGGGACGGGCTGATAGGGGGAGGCAACGCTTTTGTAGGAGAATATCCTCACATGGTAAATATTCCATACTTTACTTATAAAAAATAACACGATTTAATTTTTCATTCATTTATACTACTAACTAAGCATGAGGAAGTCACTAAAATCTCATCATGTCTTAGCAATAGAAAAAGAAAAGTTAGTCTCAGTGAGCCTAGCCATTGGGGCCCAAATTGGCCAGAAGGATATTATTTATTGTTATAATTTTTAAGGGAGCTCTCGGTTGGAAGGCAAAGGTTGGTGGTTGGACTTTTAAATGTGGGGGAACACTTATAAGCGAGAAATTCGTAGTGACAGCGGCTCACTGCTCCCAAGTTCGTAAGATCGATCAGACTGTTGCTGACGTCCACCCTAAGATTGTGAGACTTGGCAGTAGAAATATTTTAGACGTAAGTAGTGTTATGTTAAGTCTTGATTTTTGATGTGAAACATCTATTGGCGCGCCTTGGCAGTAAAACTGACTCGTATGCCGTGACGTTAAACGGCGTGACGCTACCACCGCTCTCAACTCCCTTGTCTGAGTTGTTGCTTCTCTGTGTGAGCTGCATAATGTTTCTATCCGACTCCGAGTATACTTGACACGTTTACCGCTTGTGCACACGCTTTGTATTTTTCTTTTAAATATTATTGTTTTAATTAATTTATTTTACATAATATTTCGTTATAGGTTTTAATTAATTATGGATTCTAATATTAACATAGATGTTTCCTTTCTTTTAATATTAGAACAATACGTTTTAAGCGATTTTTTTAATGATTAATAGTTTTATATTTGATAACAGAACAATCCTGATGGAGAACAGGCGTATGATGTCGGGATTCTCAAATTTATACCCCACAACCGCTACAAGGCACCACGACAATATTATGACATTGCACTCGTGGAACTAGAAAAAGAAGTGCCTTTCCAATTTCGCGTGCATCCCGCTTGTCTTTGGACTAAATTTGAAAATCCTGAAAGGGGGATAGTGACTGGATGGGGTGTGGTGGATAGTAGTAAGTTATCGGTCTATTATTATAAACGCCAAAACTACAGTATGTACACAGGTACAACTACAACCGGATGAAATTTACTCGTAGTACGCAGATAGACATACGACGTAGACTCCCACCTCCCGAAATAGAACAGGTTACAAGAATTAAGTGTTATAAAATTCATCCCTCTCTTCGAACCTTGGGGGCTATAACCCACATTATCCCATAGTATTTTGCTCAATTCTTCCTCAAGGTTGGCTATCCTCTTGTCGCTCCGCAGAGTGCGCGTGTTCAGTATTGCCAGGTCTACTCGTCATTTTTGGTAGCCCGATCTCCTCTAGAGATTCTCGTTCCACTGTTGCCTAGACCATTACCAAGACCAGGACTGCCGGGTATTGTGGGCCAGTTTTGTGCGTTGGCATTTTAAGGCTATTTGCCATAATCGCAACGCTTGGCAGGCGGGTTGGCGATCGCAGTTACATATTATGCAGGCGCTCGGAAAATGCATATAAACAAGGCCAATTACTATTTAGTTAGATGTAATAAATAAAATCTCTTGCAACAGTTTTATTTTTTCTGCATAAGAACAGCGTTCTCTCATTTATTATATCTCCGTTTCTCCAGACACTCGTGAAGTCTCTCCTGTATTACAAAAGGCACCAATTACATTAAGAGACTACGACGAATGTGAGGCAAAGTTGGAGGTTAAACGAAATAGAAACTGGCAAGGTTTCCTTCGGCATCAGCTCTGCGCAGGAGAGAAGGCGGGAGGCATAGACACTTGTCAGGTATAATAGATATAGAAAAGTTAAATTCTGCCATTGAACTGAAAAACAGTCTAGCTCGATAATGATGCACGACGTAGGTATGCACTCATACAAGTGCGCTCTCTATTCCTTGTACTCAAAAAGTCCTATGAGATGGCAATTCAACACGACTAGTGAGAGCTAGTAGCTGATTATTGAATATCCTTGCAGGGTGATTCAGGGGGACCTCTCCAAAAACTGATACCTTTAAACCGGGAACCTGGGTGGCGATACTACTATCTCTATCACGTCATCGGCGTGACTTCCTTCGGGTTTGGGTGCGCTCAACCTGACACGCCCAGCGTGTACACACGCATCGCCAGTTTTCTCGGCTGGATAGAAAACATCGTGTGGCCGAATAATTCCACGATGGAAGATAATCGATTTTTTTTATAAGCAAATAATTTAACATAAAATAGTTAAGAAGAATATATTGGGTTTTATTGCTAACAGTTCCTAATAAATATCTCTTTAATTCAATTCTCGTTTTAAGAAAAAATAGGAAACGATTTTCGAAATACATCCCCTAATTGGGTAAAATAGGGGATTAAAGATTGTATGAAGAATGTTAAAATCTCAGAAAGCGGTGTACTACTTTAAAATAAAATTTAGGAAATATATTTATTTGTTTTTTTTTTCGAAATTCATTCCTTAAAGGGGTAAAAGGGGGTGATAAAATTTTTATGTTAAAAGGGTTATTTATGGTCAGAATTACATGTTATTTGGTATTAATGCACATCAATACAATTAAATAAATACGTGTTTTAGCATTTTCAGAAATTCAATCCCATAAGGAGGTAAAAGGGGGATGAAAGTCTTTATGGAACTCTGTAATTAATATGTAAAAAAGTAAAAAAAAATAAACAATTTATTCACCTGTAGACAAATTAGGAGTTTTAAAATTCCTTAAATATAAAGATTGTAACTTCGCCAATTTTGATCGTCTTATTGCTTTAGCCCACAATTTCTTCAGTTTTTGTCTTTTGGCATGATGATGATGATGATATCCATTTTCTATGCATCTTTGCACTGCACAATTTGTATTTTTAATTAAATTTTAAATAACATGAAAAAAAAAATTATCCACGCTTTAGAGCTTTACAATACATATACTACGGGCTATAATGATCGTGTTATCTGGCGGAGGAAAAAGACAAAATTCTTTCCCATTATTTTTGAATTAATGTTATAATTTTCAACACATAGTTCAACACATTCATATCAACAATTACACATAGTTTAATTATAGCGTAAATTGTAGTTAGAAAGTGAGTGTAGCGAAGGTCGGTCGCCAAACTAATGTAAGAAAGAACTCATCTTTTAATCGTTGCTTGGAACGTAGCCATAAAAATATATACTTGTCTATGATTATTAATTACCTTTTATTATGACATTAAATGAACATTTGACAATTGACAGTTCAAAATAAACAAAATGATGCTGTTTTTATTAAAAATTCTTAACATTTTTTTATTATCCGTATGTTAAAGTATACACATTATCAATATTTAAAAAAAATTGATTATTCAATCCAAAGAGATTTTATTTATGGAATAGGTAATGGATAAAGAAGATAAGGATAAAGTACTTCTGCCACACCATGTGCAGCAGTCACTGTGCACTACACGGCTGCCGTACAGACAGGGCAGAAAGCTTACAGCCGTCAAGGTGTATATATCACATAGTATATGACAGAAACATGCACTATGGGGGTAGGGGAAGTGTTACTTGTTAGGGTTCTTTAGAATTGCAAGTTTTAATAGAGGGGTCTAAAGTATTAATTTGAAATTTTCTATTTAAAATTTTTATACTCCTTACTTTAGGTGTGACTCAGGCATTAATATATGCATTTTTCTTTCATATTTGTAATATTAGCATAGTAACTTATTATGGGATAGATCTAATGATCTCTTTAGGCCTTTAACCATAAGTATAATTGTTTTCAAAATTTAGTTATCCAGGGCAATTAAGAATTGAGGCCCCTGAGTATATTACAAAGAAATTAACAAGGTTTCATGCGATCCATTTTATTGGTTTGCCAAATTTACAGGCTAATTTCACAATAGAAAAACATCAATTAAGTAAATTCTGTTTTGAGAGCCCTATATTGTTGAATATTATATTAATACAACATCAATCTTTATACTTTAGAAATTATACTAAATGAAAACTAATGTTGATATTTTATTTTTAGGTGTATTCAATTGCAAAAGAGTCTAATCATCTTTTAATATTTGGAGTACCATCTCTAAAACTGCGGCAAGAAACTAAAGCCCAATTTGCCAAGTTTGGAAAACTATTACAGTTTAATATATCAAAGGAACATGCCGCTGAGGTCTTCACAGAGACTTACCATGCCCAATATGAGAAAATACAATCAGCCAGACTCGCAAAAAGAATGTTGGATACTAAAAATTTCTATGGAGGATCTTTACATGTCACATATGCACCAGAAATGGAAAATGTAGAGGAAACTCGACATAAATTAATTCAAAGACAACAAAATATTATTTATAGATTAAAAAATCTGCAAAAAGAGAAAAAGATTGAAAAACAACTACCTGTAGTTATAAATGATAGAGTGGAAACTCTTAAAATGAACATGGGTCAAACAAATACAATAATAATTGGCCCACAAGTGGTTTACAAGAAAAAGAAAACTGATAATCTAACAAATAAAAAAATTAAATTAAAAGATAAAACAGAGGAAACAGATACTCTTAATATCTCTAACCAAAATATAGAAGTTATAGATTGTACCGATGTACAAAATGACGTGATATCCAATATAGATGAAGCATTAAATTATAATAAATTTGGTAATGAAGTTGTTAAAAAAGTTCCAATAAAACCAATAAATAAAATACAGTTTCATATAAATAAAAAGTCATAGCCCATTTTGTTGTTTTATTTTTTAAACAGAACAGATTCACAGCTATTAAGTACTTACAGAATTATCATTTTACTTAAAGTTTCATGAAATATAGAGATAAAAACCATTTTCTATTCAAAAAATGTTTTTATATATTTATTCAATTTTATTTTGAACGCATTGAATTTATATTAAATTTATGTTCATGTAAAATAAGTACACATACTAAGTTAAACTTTATCTCTTTATAAAGTATTATTAAATAATAATATTGTTATTAGTGTTATTAATAATAACATTAATCTTTTCTAATATTTATTCATATGCATATTTTATTATTAACATAGATATTAGATAAGATATTATTTGTGTTTTCAATAACGCCTAATGACATTTATAATTTTCCCGCCTTTTAATATTTTATAGATTACTAGCGGCTCACCCTCGCTTCGCTCGGGTTCACCTCTAGAAAAGCACAAACAGATCTATCCCACGGGAACCGTTCATTTTTCCAGGATGAAAAGTAACCTGTTGTTTGACCGGCAATATAAGGTATCAGCATGCCAAATTTTACTAAATTAGGTGGATAAGTTGTGTACTAAGCTGTATAAGTTACTATAGTATTTTATCTATCCCACGGGAACTCTTTAATTTTCCGGGATGAAACGTATCTAAGATGTTGCCCAGGGATATGAGGTACCACCATGCAAAATTTCATTTAAATCGGTCCAATAGATTCAGAGATTAGCCTGTACAAACAGAAAAACAGACAAACAGCTCGCTCGGGTTCGTCCATACCTACGAATACGTTGTATTATCTCTTTAACCATTTTTGTCCAAAAGTCTTTTATTTTAAACATTTTAGACGATAAATTTACTTATTTTGATAAGAATTCATAATTGTTGATAATATGACCAATAAACATGACCTACCGATTTAAATTATTTTTTTAATATAAAAAACTACTTTTTGTGACTTAAATACAAAAGTTAGACTTATGCTGTAGCTGACTTTTTTTGTAGGCATTGTAAGAAACGTTTTCGTTCGACCGTTTTTTCTCCGACTTACTTTGCAAATCCGACTACCACGAAGAAGATTTTTCGTTTTTCGGGTTAATATATAGCCTATGACACTCAGAAAGAACGTGGCTTTCTATTGGTAAAAGAATTTTGAAAATCGGTTCAGTAGATCCAGAGATTATCCTCTACAACGTCACAAACTCACAAACTCACAAGATCACAAACTTTACCTCTTTATAATATTAGTATAGATAAATAAAAAGATTTATATAGGTAAAAAATGATTTATGAAAGAAATATTTTCTTTTTTACATGCACCTACATTGTTATACTAAAATTAATAGCTATTTACAAAAATACTAAAAAATAACAAAATTATAAGAACGAATAAAATAAATTAAGGTGGGTTTAAAGGATCTCAAAATATCTATGTTTTATGACATTTATTTCACTCTTCTGGATACTCTTCAGCCGGAACTTCTTCTTCTTGTTCGTCGAATTCGTCATCTACACCTACTTCCTGTAAAGAAATTAAAAAAATAATTAAATAAAACAAAATATGTTCCGGAAAAGAGACTAGGCCTACGGAAATTAAATCAATCAATGATCGACTAGTGTCAACATTTGTGTAGTGTATAATATATTATAAATCTGTAGAAGACCAGCGGACTAAGTATAGTTATTGGGCTTATTGGGATAAGTTAGAGGTAAGGCATTCCCATGCCGAGCAGTCTCTCTTTGGATCTCTTTCACCGCGAGTGTCAAGTTTTCGTCCCATAGGAGTTTAAGAGTACGAGGAATAAAGAGTGCACGGATCGTGTCTGCACCCATACTTATGCACTATAATATCCCCCGCGCAGATATTTGTCTCAATAAGATTGGCCGTGGTGGCCGAAATCGGTTAGGGGAACATTTTTTTAATCAGAAAATAAAACCTAAAATTACCTCATACTGTTGATACTCTGACACGAGGTCGTTCATGTTGCTTTCAGCTTCAGTGAACTCCATTTCGTCCATGCCCTCGCCGGTGTACCAGTGGAGGAAAGCCTGGAAATAATATCTAGTAATAAATATTTTACATAAATTACATAGCAGCTGCTTAAAAGGCTTTCTTTCTGTTTCTTTAATGTTCTTGGACAGTGCCATCTATTGACAGTTTCAAATCTAAAATGGTGATAAAGTGGAATTAAAAAACCGGTCAAGTGAGAGTCGGACTCGCACACGAAGGGTTCTGAACCATCGTGCAAGAATAACACTATGTATAGACTAATCGATTTTTTTTAACTGCACGGCGGCCATTTTGAAATTCCCCATCTTGGTTTTTTTGTTATTTGTAGGGTACCTTAAAAAGATTTTTTGTTATCTTTATTGATACATAATCGAGAATTTTTGGGAGTACCTACCTTTAGATAATAGTAGTTTCAGAGCTTGGATGAAATACAAATAATAAGTACAGCACAATTATTCCGAAATAAAGAAATTAAAATCAGCGAAGAAATAAAACAAATACGCCCTATTCGAGTATAATATTTTTATCTATGGCAGGTATGTTTTCGCCTACTTAAATCTGATTTTAATAAATAGCCTAAAGACTTTATGCCTTATATGTTGCTAGAAGAACCCGCGGCTTCGCTCGCTCTAAAACAACAAAAAATCTCTAAAAAGGTAGTTTCCTTCAAACTTTCATGCCCTATTTTATATTCCCCTTATAGGATGAATTTCGAAAAATGCTAAAACACGTATTTGTTTAATTTTATTGAAGTGCATTAATACCAAGTTTCAAGTATTTCTGATCATAAATATTTTTTTCGATTGTATTATAACGTGTTTTCCTGTGGGAAGTAGATAATCTCCCGCGGTAAAAAGCAGTCTATGTCACTCTCCAGCTCTCCAACTATCTCGACACAAAAATTCATGCCAATCCGTCACTCCGTTTTGACGTGAAAAAAGGACAAACAAACAAACAAACTAATACACTTTCACATTTATAATACCAGTACGGATAACCAACTACTCTCTAATATATAATCGGGGATAAAAGATAGCCTTCGTCCACCGCTATGATAAATATTCCTAATAGATTCTTAGATTTACGGGAAAATTTGACAATTTAAATAAAACTCTTTTCGAATTACAGATTTATTTTGATTTTTGGTTCCCGATTCAAACGTTTCCCAGCCACTATGGTCAGCGAAAAACCAGGTTAAATCCGAGAAAAAAAATCAGAAAAGATAATTTTATTTAGTGTTATGTACTCGTAATACACACCTTTCTCCTGAACATCAAGGTGAACTGTTCGGAGATTCGTTTGAATATCTCCTGTATCGCAGTGGAGTTGCCCACGAACGTCGCCGCCATCTTGAGCCCGCGCGGCGGCACATCGCACACCGCCACCTTCACGTTATTCGGTATCCACTCAACGAAGTAGCTGGAAACGAAAGAAATTGATGAGCTCTTCCTCATCTATACATACATATAATAAAATCCTGAGTCTAATCTGTACATAAAATATTTTTTGGCAAGTCCTATTAAAATAGTCATTCTTATCGATACAGATGCCGTATCTATAGTTATTAGAATTTTTGTCTGTTTATCTGGGAACGCATCGCGAGAAAACCAATGGACAGATTTTGATGAAATTTGGTATGGATGATAGCTAGTTATCTGGGTCAACATATAAGATACTTTTTACCGTGGGAAAATAAAATATCGCATCTCTGAGAAATCTATACTAAACGTTAAAACGCAAGTACGGACGAACCCGAGCGAAGGGAGGGTGAGTCGCTAGTTTTTATTATAAACTAGCGGCTCACCCTTCGCCCGGGTTCGTCGCTAGGTACGTTTTAAATAGATATAAATAGTTATTAGCCAGCGTTAGCCATATAATTTTTTTTTTGTTAATAGCATTGACAAATATTGACATTAATATTTATACGATACTAACGTCACTCAATTGTTTTGCCTTCACGGAACCTCTCCACTTAAACTACCACCAAACTTAAACTTTATGGTATGGTATTAAAGTTCAAATTGACTTTTAAGTATTATTACTAATCTTTTGTATGGGAGTATAGAAAAGTGTGGTTTTTAAACTTTTATAGGCAATTTTTCAAAATTTTCTCTCCGTAAGAACCATCCTCGTACTTCATGGAATATTCTAAAAAAAGAATTAGCGAAATCGGTTCAGCTGCTCTCGAGATTTCCGCTTACCAACACATTCAGCGATTCATTTTTATATTATAAGATGTAAGCGTACAATTCCGAGGGAGGTCATGCAATAAAAATAGTTATTAAAAATAAACAGAAAAAGTAATAAAAATTGGTCAATGGTAAAAAGCATTTTTTACCCGACTCGGCTTACAGCCGATAGAAGGGTTATGTGTTAGACTTGTATTTTTGTATGTCCCACTCTATTGTCCCGACGTATGTTTCCTAAATGTTTCGTAAATAATTTTGATAAATTATACCTATGTATATACATAGCTATATAGCTAGATTCGTCTCGATGACAAATATCATATGGGTTATATTAATAAAAAAAAAGGATTGTATCCGCCAAGAACGCCAAGAATATATATATATATATATATATATATATATATATATATATATATATATAAGTAGTTTACATAATATATATACATGTAAAACAATAAGCATTCCAAACTTTCAAAACAAAACTCAAAATAAAACCATGACGAAATCTGAAAAATATTTTTATTTAAAATGTCAGCATCATATTTTTATCTAGATAGTTCTATTTGACATTATAGGTCCATCGATGTGACGGCGCATGCGTGAAGTTATCGATCGAATATTATAATTATAAAATATATCCATTGGGAATAAAACCTAGTCCCTACTGTTTGTGGGAAGGACGGCGTGTATTTTTATTAACATGCTTTTTAAATGAAACTATATTTTAGGATTTTGTCGCAGTTTTTTTTTATACTTTAGTTGAATGCTTTACAGCACTCATGGTCGCGGGAGATGCTAAGGTTTTAGACGTTTCAAAGGTTATATATATAGTAAAACTAAGAATGTAAAGAATACTTTTGTTAGCTTCCCTTGTTAGTCAAACCGAAGCCATTTTGAAAAATGATTACCATCAAGCTCAATATTCTCGGGAGTAGCTTCTGTCAAGTCAGATAAGCGCTTTTTAGTTAATCTACTTATTCAGTTGAGTTGCCGAATTATATGCTTCTTCAACTAAAATTGTAAAATACTTTCAACGAAAATTATTTTTAACCGACTTCCAAAAAGGAGGTTCTAAATTCGTCGGAATCTGTATGTTCAGTTTCACCGATTACTCGCAGATGCCTGAATCGATTTGGTTTTTTTTTGTTTCCAAGGTCCCATTTAAATTTTATCGAAATCGGTCGAGCGGTTTTTTAAAAAATCAATAAAAAAAATTTAAATAAATTGCTTAATCGAATATGTTATTAAAAAATTTCTTCGTACAAATTACCAGCTTATTACGTCTACACTAAAAATGGAAAAGCAAAAACTTAAAATAATAAAATAAAAATCGACTTCCAGACACTGAAATGTAAAAAAATAACTAACCGGAGGTTTTCATTTAGAATACATACCTAATCAGATATTTTCGAAGTCGATGCCGACTCACCTGCTGTTCTTGTCCTGCACGCTGAGCATCTGCTCGTCCACTTCCTTCATGGACATGCGTCCGCGGAAGATGGCGGCGACGGTGAGGTAGCGGCCGTGGCGCGGGTCGCACGCCGCCATCATGTTCACTGGACTGAACATCTACAAGACGAAATAATCTTCACCATTTTGACTTAGAGTATATACATATGCTACGCTAGATTCCTAACAGTAGCATATGTATATACTCCAGGTCTGGTGTCTGTGTGTTATATCAAAATAACAGCTTTTTACTAAATGTATATGGAATTAGGTATATACGCTATATATAAGAAAAACAAAACTTTTAACATTCTTGTCTGTCTGTTTGTTCCGGCTTATCTCCGAAACGGTTGGACTGATTTTGACGGGACTTTCACTGATAGATAGCTGATGTTATAAGGAGCAACTTAGGCTACTTTTATTTTAGAAAAAAATTTGGGTTCGGCTCGCTAGTGCTTCAGAAGCATATAGCTCAGAAGAAATATTTTTGTTGTGTGCTTTTATCTGTTTTTATTTTATTTTGTGGCAGTGTTCCTCATAAGTAAAGTATTAATTTCTACTTCTAAATTGTAACTAAAAACTCACTTGTTGCGTGAGCTCCGCCACCGTGAGGGCTCTATAGCCTTGACTGTTCCTCGCTGTAAGTGGTGCGAAACCTGCAAAACATGTGAATCTTTTTACCAATGTTTATATATATATATATATATATATATATATATATATATATATATATATTTCAGATATACTGAAAAGTATAGTAGTAGGTATTGTATAATTAATCTTTATACAAATAGGCAAAGACAAAACAGGCCAGTACCTACCTTTTCCTTCTCTGTTTATCAAACGATTTTGTTTATCAGTAAAAAATTATTATGTTCGAAATTTTACCACTGGGCGAACTCTAGTTAAATTAAAACTCTAGTTAAATTTAACTCTAGTTTCATTAAAATTAATTTTGTACAAAATTGCTAGTTTTGCCAGTAAATATTTGTAGAATGGAATGTGAGAGACCCATTTGGAATTTCAATTATATTGTAATATATTAACAACTCACCCGCGCTCCGCTAGGGTTCATCCCTACTTACGTTTTAACGTTTAGTATAGATTTCTCAGAGATGAGATATTTTCCCGCAGTAAAAAGTATCCTATATGTTAAACCGGATTAAGGCAACTATCATCGTTCCAAAATTTCATCAAAATCCCTCCAATGGTTTTTCCGTGATGCGGTTACAGACAGATAAAAATTCTAAAAACTATAGATTCGACCTCTTTATCGATAATAATCTCTATTTCAATAAGATTTTCCAAAAAATATTTAATGTACAGATTCGACTCAGCTATAATTTTATTACATGTGTAGATATCTAATCTCACCGGGCATGAAGAAGTGCAACCTCGGGAAGGGCACCATGTTGACTGCGAGCTTCCTGAGGTCAGCGTTGAGCTGTCCCGGGAACCGCAGGCAAGTGGTTACTCCTGACATTGTAAGCTGTAAATAAATAAATACTGAACAATATATCGGATGAAACCTAAATGTCCCTAACGTTTAGGTTTCTTTTAAAGTTAATTGAAATGGTTTTTCTAACATTATCATCAGTGTTCATTCAGTGTTTAGGTATTCTTCTTCGAAATTTTGGAAAGAGGAAAAATAAAAAAAACTATGATAATTCTTTAGCAAAGAAAATAGTTCATATTTTCTTTGCTAAAGAATCTGTTTTGATTATATGGCAACAGTTTTGTTTCAGTTTCAATGCCAGGCTATTTTCTTTTCTTCATCTTTTCTAAACAGACCACGTACAGATTGTGGTGCAAAAAATTAACAGATTAAAAAAAACGTATTTATGTTTTTGCTTACATTATTATGTTACGCAATATTTCCACTAATTGGTGATCGTTTTTTTTCTTAAATGTAATAATAATGTCCTCCTGACCGGTTCCGGCCACGGCAGCCATTCTCATTGAGACTAGCCAACTGCGCAGGAGATAGTGCATAGAAGTGTACGCACAGACACAAGTATACTCTCTATTCCTGTTACTCTCATACTCTGGTGGGACGACTCAGTTCAACACGACCGGTGAGAATGTCGGCGCAGGGCCAACGCGACACGTGAGAGCCAAGGCACGGGGATGACACGTTGCCAACTTAGCAACTCCGGGCTGTTACTGAGGCCTACTATACAGAAAGACTCAATAACTAAACTTGGCCCGACCCGGGACTCGAACCCTGAACCTCCAGGTTTGCAGCTGTACATGCTAGCCACTATACCACCGAGACAGTTTTTAAATGTAATGGTTATACCTATAGGGACTTAACCTGCAAAGTAATAAGCTGATTTAAAAGATTGATCGATTTTGTTGGTTAGCAAATTGGCAAATCTTACCGACACCAAATGATTCAAGTCACCATACGTGGGTGAAGCTAGTCGCAGTGTCCGGAAACATATGTCGTAGAGTGCTTCGTTGTCTATGCAGAAGGTTTCGTCGGTGTTCTCGACGAGCTGGTGTACGGAGAGCGTAGCGTTGTAGGGCTCCACCACTGTGTCTGAGACCTGGGAAAGTGGCAGACAAAATTAATTCCATATTTCTTTCTCACTGACTGACTACAGTGACTTTAATTGAGTGATTCAAAAGTGCATATAGAAGTGTTGTTCAATAAAAGAAATTTCACTTTGCCCTACAAAAAAATAATTAAACAAATAATTAAACAAAACAAACGTTATTATGAAGTAAACAAATTCGTTAGTTTTTAAACGGTTTTATTTAGTTAGCCATATTTGCTTGGGTCAAAATTAATTTAAATTTTACTCCTGTCCTGTTGACAGATCGATCTGATGATGATTTTTTAACACTTTATCCACTTTTGCGAAGGAACAAGCATGGGATAATTTATTACCGGGTCAACATTTAGTATACAATATACATTTTACAATATACATTTTACAATATACTACAGGAAAATATTGCATTTGCTCAGGAAAACACAATAAGTGGTTCTGTCGATTCGTCTTTAGAATTTTACATGTCTAATACTTTCTAAACCTTGAGAGGTATATCAAAACAATATACTAGAAAAATGTAGGCTATAAAACTTAAAACACTCTACAGAAAACTCAACAATATCAAGCAAACATAATATATGTATGTCTATCTCCTAAGGTACACTCGCAATAACTATGTATTTATAACGTAACAAGGGATGAACCTGTGCGGAGTGAGGGTGAGACGCTAGTAAATTATAAATGGTTTAAAAAAAAAATTACGCTTTTTATCAATTTATTCCACACTAACGAATCACCCTCGCTCACCTCGGGTTCGTCCCTAGACCGTTTTAACGGTTAGTACAGATTTCTCAGAGATGAGATATTTTTCCCCAAGCAAAAAGTATCCTATATGTTGACTCGGATAGCCAGCTATCATCATACCGAATTTCATCAAAATCTGTCCAGTAACTTTCTCGTGACTGACTGACTGACAAGAGAGAATGTTCCCAGACAGACAGACAAAAGTTCTAAAAACTATAGATTCATCATTCAGCCGCTGTATCGATAATAATGTATATTTCAATAAGATTTTGTATAAAAAATTTAATGTACAGATTGGACTCAGTTTAATTGCAACACACCCGAGCGAAGCAAGGGTAAGTGGATAGTTCCTTCATATAAAATTTATATACGCACTTCAAGAGTAATGAGTACTCAGTACGCATCTCAAAAATTTAAAATTTCTACTTAGTATGAATTAGTTGCGATTGCATCAACCTCACTACATATCACGTTAAAGTGAACGTAACGCTTGCGCGATGCAGCTCACTACTACCGCCATCAAGTGAACAAGCATCGAACTTATATTTTTCTTGCTAAATTTTTCTCATTTTAACACGCTTTTATTAGTTATCAACGATAAAAAAAAATAACTAAATAAATAACTATGTTGGTACATTAACACACAGCACCATCTAGTTCCATGATAATATCTTAGAGACTCAATACAACGGCGTAGGGCTTAAAAAATAAATTATACCTGTATGTGAATACACCTGCCGAAATATACCAAGTAAAAATGTTTTATCAATCGTGATATTAGGAAATTTTACGAAGAAAAAAAATTAATGATTCATAAATTTTTAACTTGTAAGTATTGAAATTTCAATTTGAAAATTTAAAATTATTATATTATTTTTATAAAATAAAATTGTATATCTAAATTTAAAGATTAAATTTTTTAAGCAATTTAAAAACAAAATATTAAAATTCACTTATTTTTATACTACTTACGATTTTTTTTTAATTTACGTTCATCCCTTAAACTTAAAAAAACTTAACTCGGTTAATTTTGACCGGAGGAAAAAAGTCATGAAACCTTTTTGATGTAAAATTTTAAGCTTTTTACACATTATTATTACAACTTTTTTGTCTAATTTTTACCGTTTGCGAGTAATTGCGAAAAAACACTTTTTTTACATTAGTACATTATCGACATCATTATTATCTTTCTTTACAATAAAGCCGTTCAACTTAAAAAAATAAAATATTTTTTTCTTAAAAAGATATTATTTTACTATATTATAATATTTTAATATATTACCTTAGGCGACGGGGTAACACTAAATGTATTGACGATGCGATCTGGATATTCTTCCCTGAGTTTGCTCAACAGCAGCGTTCCTAATCCAGACCCTGTTCCTCCTCCAAGGGAATGGGTTAACTGGAAACCTGCAATAGTATTTCAAAATTGAATTTATCGAATAGAAAAAAACTTTTTTTTTTTTAATAAAAACCGACTTCCCGGCTAAAAAGTAAAAAATAACTAAACGGGGGTTTTCATTTAGAATAGATACCTAATCAGATATTTTCAAGTCGGTGTGCATTAATTTGTATTGGCTGGTTATTTTTTACTTTTTAGTGCCTGGAAGTCGGTTTTTTTAAGTTTTTATTTTTCCATTTTT